TACTATATAATAATAATTTATACTATATAATAATACTATACTATATAATAATAATTTATACTATATAATAATACTATACTATATAATAATAATTTATTTCAAATGTAATTACTTGCTGTTTCAAATATTAGTTATCATTACCATTGTTATTGCCGTACTTCATTCCTTTCTGCTTACATCCACCCTCCTAATTCCATATTCCAACATATGATATAATAGTAAGATAAAGAACATTTTCTTAGGGCAGAATACAACCAATTGATCAACAAGTATTCATTCAATGCAGGGTATTGCGGCTACCAGTACAAAGGCCAAAACAAGGCCTACTCTCAAGGAGATTAGCCGACGCTTCCAATGCCCATTCCTTAAACTCTCACCTCCCAAACCTCCAGGGGTCAAAAGGCTGTGCGTCCACTCTTCTTGGTTCTCCCTATTGGCTTATTAGTCTGACACAAGATAAAAAAATGGGGGGAACGGGTGCAAGGCAACTCATCTCCACTCTTCATGTTGGTTTACCAATCCACTACTATAATCTAGAGAATGGTAAAGGGACATTCTGGCAACTCGCCGATTGGATAAAGCTTGGTCTTGGTCCTATAAGGTAGGCACACCTTATTCCCCACCACAGCATCTTGGTGGGGAATTGCTTGGAAGCTGCTGCTGCTAAAACATCACGAGAATTTGTTGCTTTATCTTAGAAATGGAGGGGAAGTGCCTTGTGCCACTGCTTCTACTGGGAGCGTGAGGAAGCTTCTGGGTAGTCCCATCCAGGCAAGAGACCCAGCCCACAGGAAGTCATTCGATTCCTCTCATTCTGCCGCTTTCTCCTCTTTTCCTCTTGGCTTGAACCTCACACACACTCATCTCTCTCAAGATCTCTGTCTAACCTCTCCTGGGTGCATTACAAATGCCCCCATCCAGCCAGAGTCCTCACATTCCTGTTAATACAATCCTTGTGGTTAGGCACCAGGCATTCTGGAACATAAGCAGAGCTGGAAACATCCATTAATGTCAAGGGTGATCATCTCTGCATGTCCTATTATATTTAAATAGTTGTACTCACTGGGCATAGGGTTTCTTCTGGTTCTATTTGCTTTGCTCTGCTTTATTTCATATGCATCTGCCCACATTCCTTTGATTTCCTTATATTGCAATATCTACCTTTTAATTTTGGAAAATTGAATTAAATTTTAATAAAATTCATGAAAGCCTTATCAACTACTTTTTAAAAAAATATCTTCTATTAATTTGATTGCTCTATACTTACAATTTTATTAATTTTTCCTTTAATCATGATGATTTCTGATTCTGTCTTTGTCTCGACACTTTAATTTGTTGAATTTCCAGTTATTTTAACTGAAAACAACTCAGTTTATGGTTTTTTTTCTTTTTGTAATGAACAAACATGAATATTTACCAAAACAAATTTCACGCCCGAGGATTAGTTTACACTCAATAACCTTATATGTTTTATTTAATATTTCACAGCAAAATTCCCTTCTGGTACCCCAGTAAGATGTGGGGGTGATGCTGGGCTCTTGAAGATTATGCCCAGAAGGCATAGGAGGTCTGAGCTGTAAGGACTTCAGGAACAGTCTTGACATTGGTCTGCAGCTATATAAGCACCAGCCAAGCTAAGTATGAAGAAGGTTAGTGCCAGGAGGGAGGTCACTAATTGATGAATTCTTTGGTCAAGGCAGCCCATTAATCAAAGTAAGATACAAAATGGCCCTAGCTCCTTCTGCAGTGAATGGAGCAGAATGATTGACAGTGAGATAAAAGAAGATAAGACTATCTTAGGTTTAGGTTGTTGTTGGTGTTTTTTTTTTTTAATCGAATCGGCATCATGCATGCAAAGACAATAAGAAGCATAATTTCATTGTAGGCAAGGTATTTGTCCTTGCAGTGCCCATTACAGGCACAACCACAGAGGATACCCTGAAGATAACTACTTCATGCATGCATGTAGAGCATAGAGCTATACAGAAAGCTGAGTTTGACCAGAGCTTCCCGGACAAGTCATACCATGCACTGATACTCAGTGACTTCAGACTAATGGCAGGAGCCAAAGATGATGGTGAAAAAATATATTGGAAAATGCGGTTGATGGTTAAGAAAAGAGAAAGACCAAAAGCTTCTAGTTTAGTCAGAATCTTCCACTTGCATGTCACAAACACCTTCCTCAAGAATAGAGAAGATGGGGCAGCTAGGGGTCACAGTGGATAGAGCACCAGCCCTGAAGTCAGGAGAACCTGAGTTCAAATCCAGTCTCAGACCAAACACTTGACACTTACTAGCTGTGTGACCCTGGGCAATTCACTTAACCCCAAATGCCTAAAAACAAACAAAGAAACAAACAAAAAAGAATAGAGAAGATATTGGGCATTGCATGCAAAATTAATTAACTAAAGTGTGACAGATTTTTAAAATGCCTAATGTGGCAGTTAATTTTTCATTTAGTTGCCTATGAACAGTCAAATCGTCAATTGTCCAATTTTCCTTAATTATCCATTTATCCCACTAAAGATTTTCCTATCTCTCATCTTGGGTGACAGAGCAGGGCTTTAAACCCCGGGCCTTCTTTCTCCAGAACCTATATTTTCCCTTTTCTTTGAAGTTGTTTTGCTTTTGAAGCTTTCTGGTTATACTTTTTCTTTTCTCTGCATAGCTGTTACCAGTTTCTTAAATGGTGGTATTAAGCTGGGAAAGTGGGCTGTCTTTGCCCCTTCGTTCTGTGTACTGGGTTGGCCAAGGAGGAAGAGATGAGGCAAAGAGCTCTTTATTACATCTCGTAGCACACACCATGGGCTCACATACATGTGAGCTTTACATGCATGACCTTGATTGCTTTTTCATACCTGCTCGCACATACCTGCATGCTCGCAGAATACTTCACATACATGACCTTGATTGTTCCTCCCAACAGCCCCATGAGGTAGGTATAAAACAGGTTATTTTACAGCATTAATTAAGAGCTAGTATTTATATATCATGCTTTAAGATTTGCAAAACGCTTTCCACAGCTTATTGCATTTGGGACAGTTTAACTATTTGATTTTGAGATGGATCCAAGGATTTGGAACTGGATGGGACATAAGAGGCCTTCAAGTTCCACCCTTCACTTTAGAGAGGGGGAAACTGAAGTCCAGGGAAGTGAAGAGACTGTACGGGCCATTTGGTCCAACTCCTCACTTTACAGATGAGGAAACTGAGGCTTAGAGAAGATGAATGATCTGCCTAAACCCACAAAGAAAGTAAGTGACAGATTATAGTTTTGACCTCAGGTTTCTCGTCTCCAAATAATGAAAGCTGAGCAAGGGAAATGACTCAGTGTAATTCATCATATACATCATGGGAGGTAGTTCAGTTCCAAGGAAATTCACCAGGAAAGTGGTGCCCAGACCTCCACCAACTTAGCTGGTGTTAGATTTCAGGATGTTGGAGCCATGTTGGCTTTATTTTCAAGACATATCACCAGATGAACAGCCAGTCTTACCCCAACACCCAATCTATGCAAATCCCAAACAAGAAAGGATATTTTTGTTTAGAAACATTCAAGAATAGCCCCAAATCTGCATATCTGGGCTATCTTAGGGCATTTCTAATTCCTTCCACTTTGGATTTAGCCTAACCCCAAGAAACTGTCCTCTTTTCTTTTGGTTACAATTGTTGGATTTTTCTGAGACTTACTGATCTTTTTATGGCATATCTTATGACAACACACACACACACACACATACATAAACACACATACATGTGCACGCACACATACATACTCAGAATGCCCACATTCGGCATAGTTGCCTTTGCTTATATGAGAAACTATGAGGCAGGGAAAACTTTCTGAGATTTCTGGGTTCAACCATATCAGCTTCAAAGAGCTATTTGGTCTGGTTCAAGGTTATAAAAACACACTGGGAAAATGAAAAGCACTTGAGAAAATGAAACTCTTAAATTAGTTCTGAATGGCTCCCCTCTGGTTCTGCCAAGGCTCTATGTTCCTGATCTATTCCTTGGTTATACATATGCCATCAAACATGAGAGTGGGAGGGGAGAAGGGAAGAAAGAGACAATAGAGAGAAAGGTGGAGGAATGAAGAAGGAAAGAAGGAAGGAAGGAAAGAAAGAAGGAAGGAAGGAAAGGAGGGAGGGAGGGAGGAAAGAAGGGAGGGAGGGAGAGAGGGAGAAAAAAGGAAAAGGAAAATTGATAAAGAGAAGGAAGGGAGGAAAGAAGGAAGAAAAATGAATAAGAAAGAAAGAAAAGGAAGAAAGGGAAGATGAAAGAAAAGAAAATGAAGGAAGAAAAGAAAGGAAAAAAGAGAGAAAGTGACAGTGAGTGAGAAACAGAGGCATAGAGGGAGAGAGACAGAGAAATGTTTCCAGTGACTCAAGACCCATGAGCATTGCAGGTCCCACCATAAGCACCACTGCCTTCCTGTTGTTTATAGCTTGCACAACAGGCCCCCAAAAGAGTCATTTCAAAACTCTTCATGTACCATGCTGGTTTCCTGTCCTATTTTGCCCAAAACAACAAACTCTGGGCGATGATATTAACTGTGCCCTCCACACTCCCTCTCATATATGACATGCAAGACAGCATGGGGTGGTGGAAAGAAGCCAGACCTGGACTCTGGACAACTTGGCTTCCGATTCTCCTGTAGCCCCTTCCTAGCTGTGTGCCCTGGATGAGTCATGTCCCAGCTCTTGAGCCTTGACATATTCCCTGGGACGTCTCTACTGAATCGTTGCTGAACTATAATCTGCAATGATGCAGAGAGTTCTCCAACCTAGAATCTCCAATGTGGAAGCCACAAAGTCTTGGTGTAGTCATTATTCTTGCACTATCTATACCTGAGGCTGTCGTGAGGCTTAATACACTCACTCATTTCATCTGTGATTTCACCAGTGTAGAGGAATTCCGGTGTAGGACTTCTCTCTGCCAGTTAACTATGAGACTCTCTATTAAGTCTCTGACTTAGTAAAATTATCTACTGATAGATAACTCTTAGGGAGGTGCTTGAGCATTATAAAGGTTAATTGACTCTAAGACAGTCACATGGGAAGCAGTAAATTGGGTTTTATCGATCCTAAAGTACTTTGGAAATAACAATAGTAGCAGTAATTGTTGTTGTTATTATCATTACTATTATTATTAGTTGCTCTAGACTTGTGATTTCATGGATATAATGAACTACTGTGGCAGCTAGGTGGTGCAGTGAATAGAACATGGGGCCTGGAAGACACAGAAACATAGAAGCAGCTCATCCTCAAATTGTAAACTGCATCAGTTTGACTGACCAGCTGAATACTGCAAACTGGAACAAGTTTCTCAAGCAGAGAATGTGCTGTGTGTACCAACTGGCTGGTAAAGAACATAGGAAGACAGAAAGGGAAGTACCTAGGAGGGGTAGAACCTTCTCAAAATAAATTACCTGGTCAATGTACAAGAAATGTCACTCACCTACACATCTGGGGCAACACTGGCCTGGTGGAGTCTGACTCAGGTGCTCAGGACATGACAGAATGGGGCAGACTTCTCTCATGCACTGTGTTTGACCTCCCTAAAGAGAAAATAGGCTTCATTAAAAATAAAACAACACTTAGATCCAAGATAAGTCCCGAGCAGTTCTAACAGAGTTCTATATCAGAGCAGAGTGCCTGGCAGTGAAGAATGTTCAATATAAGATTAGTTAAGAATTTTTAATAAATGCTTTTTCATTCAATCATTCTCTGATTCATTCATTCATTCATTTATCTGTCAGTTTAGAGGGCTCCCAATGTGGTACCTCATTCCACCGATAGAGCATGAAACTCCACTGACTCTATGACTCCGTGGAAAATTTCTAGGGATTTGCTTGAGGCTAAGAAAAATTACAGTATTTTCACGGGGTCACACAGCTACTAAGTGTCATCGATGGGGCTAGAACCCAGATCTTCCTGATTCCAAATTCTACGCTGTGTCCACCACAGCTCAGTGACCCTCAAATAGCAGTGGGCTCAGTGAAATCTTTTTTCCCCAAAATACCAAATGAATGTAGATGGAGGCCAAAATCAAGAGATGATGAAAGAGAAATAACCCTTCGATTTTTAAAAGAAATGTGACAAGTCCTTCTCTTTCCAGCCTTGACGTTGACACTAGTGACTTTAAACATCTGGGAAGAGAAGGGAATAAACATTTATTAAGTACTTACTATGTGCCCGGCACTGTGCTAAGTGCTTTACAAATACTATCTCAGATGATCTGGAACTGGAATGATCTATATTGCCTGTATAGTTTCTTCACTCCATATCTGAATTCAATGTGTGTGTGGAGGTTTATGTATGAGTATGAACATCAAGATTAGGAAAAGGGGAAACAGAAGAGTTGGAGTGGAAGGAGAAAGGAGACTTGAAAGGAGAAAGCTGACTGTCCTATTATCTTACTACCCTGACATCCTGTGGATACCTTAAATGTCCAAAATGGATCTCATTGCCTTTCCAAAAAAATCCTCCCCCACCCACACCTTCCCTATTACTGTGGAGGGTAACACAATCCAGTGGTAATGGCTTCCTTGAAGTTTCCCTGAATAAGATATTCCATCTCTCCAATTCATTTTCATTGGCTGTCCCTATGCCCAGGATGCTCTCCCTCCTCATTTCTGTCACCTGGCTTCCCTGGCTTCTTTCAAATCCCAGCAAAAAACATATGCATTACAGGAAGCCTTTCACAATCCAGCATTGACTAGTGTCTCCTCTCTGTTGATTATTTCCAATTTTTCCTATGTACAGATTGTTTCTTCAGAACAGGGACTAGATTTTTTTTTTGCCTTACTTTGTACCCCAGTGCTTGGCAAAGTGCTTGGCACACAGTAGATGCTTAATCAATACTTGTGCTGACTGGCATTTCTTCTTATTTAATTGGCTAAATCCATTGTTTCTTCCACTGTAGAGTTTCAATGACTAGATGAGAAATAAACAGTGTCCAAAATCAGTTTCCCTTCCTCTGTAAAAACCTTCAACTTTTTAGGTCAGTAAAGATATTGCAGACTATTTATACAGGTTTCAAAACAATGTGTCTTGAAGACTAAAATCATGAGACTTCACTATCCTAAGTATGATCTCATTCATGGGTGGAACATTGTTTCTTCTTAATATTTCTCATCTTTGTAAGCCTCAACAATTCTGATCTTTCCCCATACTGGTAAAGCAAATTCTAAACTACTTCTAAGGACTGTGTTTTTAATGATTTTGGATCCACCAAAATCAGCTGTGTCAGGTGCCACCTGATAGGCCCAGATAAGTAAGTCCCACATGGGCATGTTGAAAATGAGTGACTTAAGTGTGCAACAGACATTCAGGATCTATGGCCTTTTCCCACCTGCAAATACTCACATCATCTGATTCCTGCACAGATGCCCCAGATGCCTCCAAATAGCTACTTTCCACTGAAGATCAAAACCAGTGAATGTTTCTGCCTATGATATTTCATGGCACCTCATGATCTCTTCTGTGGATTAATTCATGTCAGGAACTGAAGCTTAGACCCTATACTATCCTGCCCCCTCTCTCAGGTCTGGGCTGGATCACCTGTGAACCCATGGACACCTTCTCATGGTTCCTACCAACTGACCAATTCCTTCCCTTGCCAAGCTGCTGCATGAAGCCATCAGGCTAAGAACCAGGGGGAAAAGGAGGCTGCTTTCTGTGTAGAGTGGCCAATGCCAGCCTTTGTTGTCACCTTGAAGTGACCACCCTCAAGAAAGAGACTGACTGTAAAGACAGATGGTTCATTCTTTTTCCACTGAGTCTTTCCAGGACATTCTCAGGGCATACTAACAAAATGGCAGGCATCATGGTCCAAGCATGGATGGATGTATAAGGTCTTCCAGCCCAATCAGAAAACAAAGGTCTAACTCTCATAACTGATTGACCAGGTCCCCCAGTAGAGGATATTCCTCATAACTGAAGATGGTCCTCTACTAGAAGATCTCAAAGAATTTATTGCTGGGATCTAGGGGACCACTGGAGTCCTACAATAGCTGACAACTACCTATTGACAAATTGGAGAGGGCCATAGTAGGTCCATACTAAAACTTGCTTGTAATGGCATAGCCCCAGTAGACTAATTCAATCACAGATCTCTGACTCTAATCAAGAGGAGGCAGTACAACACAATAGAGCTCTGACTTTGAAGTCAAAGGATATGGGTTCAAATCTTGCCTGTGACACTACCTATGTGACCGTTGACAAGTCATTTGGCCTCCGTGGGTCTCAGTTTCCTCATTGGCAAAATGAGTGGGTTGGACCAGATGACCTCTGAGATCTTCTTCTAACTCTCAACCTAGGATCCCACAGTAAAGAGATTTTGCCTGGGATGAGGAGATCACTCTTCTGTCAGATTTTATATGAAAGCCTTCCATCTTGGGAAAAGACCAAATAAATTAAAATAGGAGGAAAAGCCAGGCTTCTCACTGCAAGTATCCAAATTGTATGAAGCCCACTCAGAATCACGTCAAATAACTGATAAAGAAAAGAAAGCCCTATCCCTTTCTATTTGTTATGGGCAGGGTGAATTGGATTGAAGAAAACTTCATTGTTATCTTTGTCATTGTTTTAAATGTAAATAACCCAATTACAACTAGGTAAACTGCCCCTACCCAGGACTTGTGGAACCAGGTGGGGAAGGAAATGAACTGACTCTACAGTGAGAGGGTCCTCAATGGAACTAATCCTCCTCCAGGGCAGGACACATTTTCTTAAGCTAGAACTCCCCCATTAGGAGCTCCCTTACGTCAAGGTATGAATAGACTCCAGGGCACTAGGTAGCACCAGGGACCTTGCAAACATCCCCAAGGCTGTACTCTTAATAGAGAAAGCCATTTACAAGTCAGTCAAACATATATTAAGGCCTCACCATGAAGAAGGGCAGAAATATAAAAATAAAACCAAAACAGTCTGCCTATGAGGAGCTCCCATGTTCTATGGGAGAGATAGCATATGTGTATGTATATATGTGTGTATACATGAAGTCAACAGAAAATATTATTTCTGAATGGAAGATGCCATGTCTGCCCCTCCAAATGGAGAGGATAGCTTCTCATGGTGGAAAAGGCACAATGGGATGAGGGATGATGTCAACAGCAGGGGAGATTCAAAGATGGAATAGCTCCAATGGTTGATGTTGGCTGGACAATCAGCTGGCTCTCACTGCACCATGAGCATTCTACTCACCCATTACCAAGACTATACAATGTATAGTCCCCCTTCATTCATTTGCTCACAATGGGGGAAAGGGAAGAGAATGAGTATTTATTAAGCACCAACAATGTGCCAGGCCCTGTGCTAAGACTTTACAAATGTTATCTCTTTTGATCCTCACAACAGCCTTGGAAAGTGCTGTTATTATCCTCATTCTATAGTTGAAGAAACTGAGACAAACAGAGGTTAAATGACTTGCCCAGAGTCACACAACTAGTAAGTATCTAAGATGGGATTTGTACCCAGGTCTTCCTGGTCCAAGCTCAGCCCTCCATCTGCTGTACCGCCTAGCTGCCAGCTCAAATCCCACTTCTTCTGCCATAACCACACCAATTCACAGTGCCCTCCTCTTCTTCTGAACTTACCATTGGCTGGACCACTCATTCAACATGTCGTTCCAGCCCCATAGACACAGCTGGAAGGGACCTCAGGTCATCTGCTCCAACCCCCTAATTTAGGATCCCACAGAACACTCCACTTTCGTCCTTCTCTTGGCACTGTGACTCATCTGTTCTCCCGTCCCCTCATTGGCTACCAATAGTAATTATGAAACTAGTGATAGCTTTTACCTAGGCCTTGCTGTCTCCCTACAATCCCTTCTCTAGACTGTGTCTCAGCAGGACCAGAAATCTGGAAGCCAATGCTGCCATCCCGCCCTCTAGTCACACCAGGCTCAGCAGGGCCCTCCAGGACAAGTAGAAATCCCAAGACATCCTGGCCTCCCTCCACCTGACTCCTTCAACCCAAATGCATGATTGTGAAGTGAGAGCCCTTTCAGCAGATTCAGAGAGGTCACCTATTCTAAGTCAGAAGCTGAAGTTTGCGCCAAGATGGCCTGTGGGACATAAAAGTCAGAAAAGAAACCCAACCGAACCCCAGGATCACTTTTACAGGCCCATTTGTTCTATCTCTCCCACCCCACACCCCCACCTTTGTCCCAACCCAGCCAAGACAAATATGGCTGCAAAGAACTTTGCTAAAAGCTTGAAATCTTAGGGCATATGAGGCTGCCCATAGACTGACTAGCCTCAGGCACACAGAGAACACATTCTCTTCATCGACAAACTCTGTTCTTGTTGGAACGGCATTTATTTTTTGAAGCATATTTTTAAATTAGAAAGAAAAAAAAATTCATGATTGCAAAGGAATTAACTTGTCCAACACCCTGGAAAACTGGCAGCAGATTGCATACACTCCTGTAAGTTTCCTTACAACCAGGTCAAAGAGCAAATTCTGCATACTTAATACAACTGCAGTGTGTATTCCCCAAGAGTCGGTTAAAGTAATCTGAGCTCCAATTTGGGTTCCCAGACTTGGTCAGGTT